AATTTGAAACCATACCAGACCCTGCTTAGCTTTGCAAATGTGCTAGCAGTGTTGTTGATTCACCACATCTGCAGGCACCATTAACAAAAAGAAAATATTTAGTGATTTGAGACAATAAACATATACAAATCAAGTAAACATAGCATGTAACCAAAGGGCCATGTACCAATAGTATTACTCGTAATGGCTTCACTTTTTTCACTTTCATAAGATCTAAAGGGTATTACACTGACAGGTTAACAAATCTATACTGTTGACACTTTGCAACAGGAGTACAGAACCTGTGATCACCCAGATGTGATTGGACTGCATCTCCCATCATCCCTGACCATTGGGAGTTGGACTCCAACCAGCAGCATCTCTATATCTGCAAGTTCCGTACCCTTATTTCACACACTGTTTGGCTGTAGGTTAAGAAATTTCCTGATTATGCAGTGACCAATTACATTATACACTCAATTACTTACCTAGGCATTAGTATTCCTAGCAAGGCTTACTGGCCATGCCAGACAGAACTTGCTCTCTGCATGCCTATGATTTGGGAAGTGTACCAATTAGTTATCTGGGATGAGATGATCATTCAAATATAATGATCAAAATGAAGGTTACACAAATTGATTCTGGACAGGCTGTGCTTCATTTGTTTACTTGAAGTTTTGAAGAGTTCCCAATACATAATCAAGGCTGAAATGAAACCACTTCTCACACACCGGCAGAACTAACACAAGTTGTACTGAGGGTATCTTCCTTCTCCAAGCCTGCCCAAGGACTAGAAAAAATGGCAAAAAGCTATGATTGTGTTGGACTATGTATTTGGCACTGTGAGCTACAGTGGAAATGTATACCGGGCTGGTGAGACATCACTAATAGCATTAAAAGCACAATTGCCTTGCTGCCATATAGTTTTTAACCAATAAAGCTGCTAATGGTGGAAACCAATGGCACAAGTATTTTCCTGTTTCATACCGCAATATTGAAGCAATCTGAAGCATGCTTATTTGGGAGTTAAATCCCTTAGAATTTAGTGGAGCTTGTGTGTGACTTAACATGCATAATGCAGGATCTTAAAGTGCATTCTTAAGCATCTTAACAATATGATCCTAACAATGTTTCTTTATAAGTAAACCCCAGCGAATTCAGTAGTACGTAGTTCTGAATAAGAAACATAGGCCAGCAGTCATACTTGAAAATAAAGTTGTATTTAAATCGGTGGAACTTCATTCTAAGTAAATGTGTTAATCTGGGTGTCTGAACAAATGAAAGCACCCCATTAACATTTCATGGATGTGTTTCTAGTATGTCAATTATGCCAAGTTATATAGACACAAATCCTTGATGGCTGCGGCATGCTGCAGAACTCCTGCCCTTAGGCTCTCAGACACTAATATTATTTCTTTAAAACCTTATTTGTGTGGCTTGTATTTTTATTTGAATAATTTATATGCTTTTACTTTGAAGAATTGCAACTGGTCCCTAGCCCTCATTTTTGGGTGGGCTAGCAATCAAAATAATGTCTTTTAAAAGTGGGTGCATAGTGAATGTAATAATAATGACTTTCTAGAAGTTTTCCTTGGTTCTATATTTACTCATTTCTGTATTTTGCATTACACAACTCAAATTTTCTTAGTGATTCTATGTACAAAATTGGGGAGCTTGATTGTTGCCTTTCCCCATTTCAACACACTTCTGTTGGGCTGAACATTCTGGGTTGCATCCAGCCATACTTGGAGTACACCCAATGAGATCAATAGTCCTAACTTATTGTAATGTCCGAGTATGACTTAGCTCAGGGGTCTGCAACCTTTAAGACAAAAAGAGCCACTTGGACCCGTTTCCGAAGGAAAAAAAACTGGGAGCCGCAAAACTCGTCATTATAAAAATAACTTTTTTGTCACTTTTATATTATTACTTTGTTTGACCCCTCAGAATCACTCCTCCTCATAGAAATAAACATTAAATTAACAAGTTACCTTTTTTGTGTGTGTGTTCTTGACTCCCCTTCAAAACAGTGACCAGCGTACATGCCCCTTATAATGTAGCGGGCGGGAAGGTGACGTCGGGACGGTGCGTGCCTAACGCACGCACCGCCCCCATGCGACGTCACAGCCAGTACAGCGCCCGCCACAGTGGGGAGTGTCGGGGCGCACAATGCGCCTCCTCCCCTCTCTAGTATCTGCCCCGGAGCCGCGGCAAAGGTGTAAAAGAGCCACATGCGGCTCCGGAGCCGTGGGTTGCAGACCCCTGACTTAGCTGAATACAGCTAACTCTCCTAAATTTCCCTGAAAGGGTGCTAGTTAAGCCTGTTTTAGGGTTGCCATATTTCAAAAGGTAAAAACCAGGACACCCCAAAAGTTTAGGAAAAAAAAGTTTAGGAAACTACCAAAATTGTTGAGCTTTTTAATTGAAAAGCCAAAAGTTGTTCAGCTGTCTTTTTATGAAAACACAAAAAAACATGATTTTTTGGTCTATTTGCCGAAGATCCAGGACAAACCGCCACCCAGATGTCACTTCCGCCTTTGAAATCCTGGTAATGTCTGGGAAAATCCAGACATATGGCAGCCCTAGTTTTTAAGTACCTGCAAATCAGAACATTCCTGTGCCTGTATCTGGACTATGGATCTGGGATGCCTAACATTGTTCCCCTGTCATTAACAGAGCAGCCAAAGCACATTCTCACAATCTCTTTCATTTTATATGCGTATATGGCAAGTATGGGAAACATGTGGCCCTACAGGTGCCTTTGGACTCCAGCTAGTGTAGCCACCGTTGGTCGGGCAAAATACAGGACAGGACAGGGTGGGGGAAGGGATTGAGGGGATAAAAATTACTTCACTGGGTGCAGAAATGACTTCAAAGCAATCCATTACAATGGCACATGGGAGTTACAGTGGTTTATTCAATGAAAACAACAACAAAAGCACTCACTCTCTGATCTACCTGCCTCTGTCTGTGCATAAACTCCTTCCCAATCTTCCCTGCACTCCACTGGGTGGATGGACAGACCAGGCCCATGCAACACCCCTCTTTCTCCAGGACTTATCCTCTGCCCGCACAAAACCCCTCTCTCTCAAACTCCTCCTCCTGTCCCCATCCCACTCTCTGCTCACCATCCCACAATAAGTCTTGCTCTCATTCTCCATCTCATGGACCCACCCTCCCCATACAAACTCCTGCTCAGGTTCTCCCTCTCCTCCTCCCACCGGACCCAACCTCTGCTTGCACAGCTTTGAGGATGAGAATGAGCTTGAATACATGAAAAAAGGCATCCCATCCAAACAGGGCAGGGGACACTTTTCCCCCCCAAAAGGACAATCACATACTTCTAGGGACAGGTGGCAACCCTAACTCTCTCTCCCATCATCCCTGTCCGTTGGCCATGCTGGCAGGGGCAGATGGGAGTTGGAGTCCAACAACATTTGGAAGGTCACAGGTTCTCTATTCCTGGCATACAGGGTAGCTAACTTGGTACCTTCAAGATTTTGCTATTGCTTCCATCATCCCTGACCACTGGTCATGCTGGCTGGGGCTGATATGTATAAGTTCCCAGGTTCAATACCTGGAGCTACCTGTTCAAGGACTTGAGGTAGCAAGGCTAAAAAAGACTGTGTGTGCTTGAGACCTCGGAAGAGAGTTGTTGCCAATTAGAAGAGACTGTACTCAATTTAATGGCATGCTATAAGGCAGGTTGTAAAGTGCTTCTGCCATTTTAGGGGTATTTGTGCAATGGGATATATGTAGAAGGTAATGTTTTACAGAACTATGATATTGCAGGGAATATCCATCCTAGGCATGGCTATCCTAGAAGCATTTTGAGGTGTTTGATAGCGTCTGGCACTTGGGTGTTTTTTTGTTTTTACTGCCATGGAGCAGTGGGGTGCCTTGTTGTATAGGATTCTGTGAGAGGCTGCTTGTTCTGTGGGGCTTAGAAGCTCTTTTATGGAGATGTGAGAGGCACCATGTGTGCGACAGAGATGCTTTTCAAAACAAAACTGCAAGGTGCCTGCGATTTTATAGTGGGGTTCTTGAAGCTGTACATGTGCCAGTCAGGTAGGCTGGTCTAACTGTAACACTGGGAAATGAAGGCTGGGTACACACCCTTATTTACTCTGCACCCAGTGTGCTCCCAACAGTGGCATGGGAAGCAGTGGACACATGACGTTTGCCACAATCCATATCTGTCCTGTTGTTTTCCTTATCAGGTTTTTAATATTCTGTTGGGAGCCGCCCAGAGTATTATTATTATCCCTTATGAAATACTGCATTTTGATGCACTTTCCCCACAAACTACCTTCAGCCCGACTTGAGGAAAAGAACAATCTAGCTGTGTTTTAAACCAGTAATGTTTACACAAAATAATGGATGCAGTCCTAAACTCCATTTACCAGAGAATAAGCTTAATTGAATTAAAAAGGATTTACTGCTGAGTACACATGGCCAGGATTTCAGTGTAAATTACCAAGAAACTGCTGCTGTTTTCGTTTTTGTAATGTTCAAGACTGGAAGAGTTTCTAGAAAAAATAAATATAAATGATAAGCCAGGATATGTCCATAGACATATTAAACCAACAAGCAGTTTGCATGCCCACCCCCAGTGTTTATTTACAAAACATGAAGAAAAAGCCCTGACCCCTTCCAGGTATGCTAACAAGATCTTAACCAAGCATCTACACCCCCCTCTACTTTGGTCACCCCGGTTATTTTGAAACGATTACCAGTCAGAATGAGATTTGAAGCAGCGATTGCTCTGCTCAGACCTCAGGCTCTTAGTCTCTGCAGAGGAAGCATCTACTGCTACCCCACGGAGGACGCCCGCCGCGCGCCCCCCTTCCTATGCCAATTCGGATTAGACTATACCCTGCAGCAGACGTGTTAATCGGATACTTCTTCCCACCTGTTTCCTCGCCCGTTGCCCAACGACCTGAGCCGCCGGAGAGACTACGCTTCCCAGCATGCACCTCGGCCGCTCCGCGCTCCGCTCTAGTGTAGCAGGATTTTCCCTGTGGATTGCGCATGCCTAGCCAGACGTGGCAGCAGCAGCAGCAGCCGCCGCCAGAGCCAGCAGCTCCTCGTTCTGCCAGCGCGAGCGGCAGTCGGTGATGGGTCTGGCGGGGCGCAGCTTTGGGAGGACGAAGTGCTTCGCAGGGAGGATGTTGCTGCTGGCCCTCTTGGTAAGTGGCTGTTGCTGGGAAGCGGCTTCTGCTGCGGAGGGGCGTTTCGTGAAGGACGCGCGGGGCGGCGGAGGGCGGGGGCGAGCTGTCCGGGGCACTTGGGCTGGTACACTGGTGCTGGTGGTGGTGAGAACTGGTGATTCTGGAGGCGCCGGGCTCTGTGTGTGCTTGTGTGTTTGCACACAGCTCGCCTGTCAAAGTGAAAGCGGCAGGCTCACATTGCTTAGGTGGCAGAAGTTAAAACTTCTTCGGCCTTTGGAAAGCGGGCGGGCGGGCGGGCAGGCGGGGTTTGTGTATGTGTGTGTGCAAATACGGTACCTCACGAGAGGAGCCGCTGCTTGCAAAGGCTCGCGCTGCTTTCTTTTCCTTTCCTGCCTGCCACGCTTGCGAGATCCCCGTGGCCGGTTGTTGGTGAGTTGGAGGAAACCCGGCTGCTCCAAGGCAGGCTAGTTGCCGGCTGATTTATGCCTCCACTGCCACTTAACGCTCGGGTCCTTTATCAGTCCCGAGCTCAGGTTCTCCGGCTGCATGTTTTACATTACTGTTTCTGGGATGATTATACAATATGTCCTGTAGAGCAGCACTGTTACTATTTCTCTCTCTGTCTCTCTTGAGATACTACAGTAGGTAGGTGTAAGTCATTCCCCTACTCTGTGAGGAGGGAGAGAGAAGTGTTGGCGACAATGATTAGGTTAGTTCAAATGGTTAGCTCTGGACTAAATTTTTGTGCAGAATATCAATCGACCTATTTCCTTCCCCCTTTTCTTTTTTAAATAGAAATAAAAGCAACGAACTGAATGTGCCGTGGTAGTTCAATATTTCAGGGGTAAATAGAATGTAATGGTGTAATCCTATGCTACTCCGAAGCAAGTCCGTTGAGTTCAGGGGGACTTGCTCCCAGGGAAGGACAGCAGCCTAAATACTGTTTGCTGAAGCTAGTGCTTCCAACCTGCTCTCAGAAAATGGGTTCAAGAGTGAAATGAGCACAGACAGGTCCTCTGCATGTTTACTCAAAGGATAAACCCCACTGGGACTCTCTCCCAAGTGCACACAGGCTGGGTTGCTACCTTATACATCTTGCAATTCTAGGTGTGGCTATTCTGAAGTGTGTCTTGCTGAGTAAATTGGGACTCATTCCCTAGTCATTGTGTTTAGGATTGCAGCCTTCATTTTTGTGAAAAGAATAAAAGTCACAGAGTTAGGAGATAAGATGACTTGAGAGATGTGTGTATATATAGCTCAGTAATGTATAAATATTTCCTTTTCAGAGGTGGGTTGAGGAAGGATGGAGGGTTGACACTTAAGGCTCACATGGGTGCTCAAATTCCTGTGACCTTGCTTGCAGTGCAATGCACTTATCATTGTTTGCTTTCCACTTCCCTTAATTCTCTTGTGTTTTTCCTACCACTGTTTCAAAACAGAAACATTTTGTAAAAAGTGTTTTTCCATTTCCACTGGAATTTTGCAGACTTCCCTTATGGCTCCTCTCAACTCTCAAATGCCTACTGTTATCCCAGAGAAGAATCTGAACTGTCTGTTGTCAATAATAATAAATCATTTCAATTTTTAGTGCTTGGAAGACATGGCTTAGGCTATCCACATTAGTCTGACATACCAGATTATTTTAGGTTTTGCAGTAAATGGTTTAAACTCAGACTTCATCCATTCATGGTGAAATGTAACTTGGATTCCTTATAGAGGATGATTATATGGATATGACTGGGTGGCATTAAAATCATGAGCTTGAGAATTCTCAGATCTCTGTATGCATAGGTACACTTTGCACAATATGAGTTCTCCTTGAATGTGCCGAGAGAAAAAAGAGAGAGGAAACCTTGAAGTTTTGGGCATTGAGTGGGAAAGCTTTATGACAGCACATTCAGAAATATCTAGGTATGGTATAATTTAAATGGATGCAGTACCACAAATGGTTTAATAACACTAGCTGCTAAAGTGGAGCTTTTTTCTGTGGTGGGAAAAAAGCTTTTACAACTCTTAATTGATTCTTTAAAGAGGCTTAACATGAATAAGTCAGAAGGTTGTTTAACATGAATGCTTGCATAAATACTTCTTTTCATTTACCCTGTGAAATTAGACTTTCTTCTCTCCCCTGGCAAATAATCATAACCTAGGTAAGTTCTTAATTTTCTTACACCTGCTCAGTCAGTCAGATGTGGACTTCTGAAACAGAGTGACATGATAGCAGTGCATTAATTTGCCTACAACAAACAAAATGTATAATTGTGGTTGTGTTGCCATTTCCCCCCGCTCCCTTCCCCACAAATCCTTATTTGCAACCCCCACTCAACTGTCTTGGTGTGATGGACACAAATGCTGTGCCATTCATGGAAAAAAGAGTTGGATGGTTGGTTTTCACTGACCTCTTGCTTCTGACACACTTTTATTGGCTTTGAAGGAAAAACAAAAACTCAAGCAACAATGCCCTAGCACACAGGTGGGGGATTTAATGATGGAAGGGGTCCCTTAATAGGAGTCCTGTAGATATAAAATTAGAAATTCGGGGAGAAGGTTCAGACTGTGTATGTATGTATGTGTAGGGAAGAGTGTCTATTCTGAAGTGGCACAGTCTAGATACAGCTTTACAATCTCATCTGCTGTTTGGGATAATGCTAAATTAATTTCAACAGAGAAAGACTGAAACTTTTGGGCAAAGAAAGAGCCTGTAGTTATTGCTTGCAATGTTACTTTATTAGGTTAAGTTAACGCAAATGTGCATATGTCGAACAGGAAGTGTTATATGAATTTTGGTTTCCTGCTAAGAGTACTCACTCTTCCAGTCAGCTTCCAGAGCTTTGCAGAAAGTCTTAATTGAAAGAGGATTTTGTTTAATCATTTCCAAGTGTTTGGTATTTAGTTCCCGCCCTCTTTTAGTATCACAGTTTGATGTGCCTCCTGGACCTGGATTCTATCTACTGTTTAGCCTTATTACTGCTTCTCTACTCTCCTTTTCCTATTGCATGTGGGAACTGATTTTCTTGTTCTAGATCTCCCAAGTGCAGATCACATGGGTAGCCCCATGTACAGGTTGCCCTATTTGTATGGTGGTAGAACTAATAATAAAATAAAGGTTAATTTTTCCTTATAAAAACGTAACTACATAGATCTGAACATTTTGTTACCCAACTGGATTCCCCCCCCCCAAGAAAAGATTCATTTTTGCTTGTAGAATATAGTACTAGTATTCTTTGGTTTTGAGAGAAGGTGGGTTAAGCCTTCTTGAAAGAGTCAGAATGATGTAAGTTAGCTCCTCCAGTTTCCAACTTGTGAAATGCTTCTGGATATGGGCCAGTTTGGTATTTTGGGGTGGGGGGGTGATTGATGGGTTGGATCCTGTTACTACGTAGGATAGGACTTGGATTAATCTGGACATTCAGTTCCAATTCTGGCAGAACTATTTTTTTAAAAAAGGATAAAAAGGTTGGCCAAAGTGGAGCTGCTTGATGCATGATGGAATGGTGCGGTTTTTCAACATAGGGCATCCGCTATCATCTGTATGACTCAGATAGTCTTCTGTAATGGCTATTTTACAGTCCTCCATGCTGTTCTTTCATCCTGTATGTTTCAATGCCTGCCAGGTTCTGCAGTTTTTGTTAAAAAGATTCTCCTGTACTCTGAACCAGGAATCAATACCCTATCCCAATATTAATATTTGCTACTGATCCCTCTTCTTGAAAGAGAACATCTTCTTACCTTTTCCATGTGCAAAATTCCCACTGTGGCCTTTTGTTTTTAGGGTTGTTCAAGATCTGTTCTCAGACATGCAAGTCGTGTCGCTCTTCTCAGAACCCTTTTATTGCAGTCTTGCCCTTTCTGAAATGAGGTGAATATTACATGATAAGGTTAAATTACACGATGCTATTGCAGATTATCCTTATTATTCTCTATCTTCTTTGTCTAGCCCCAGATTTCCTTTGCTACTCTTATGCTGAGCTTAGGTTGGTTCAGCCAATTTCGCTCCAACAATGTATGCAATTAAATGCTACTTCTGAATTGTACTGTTTTGAATTTATATACCTGTATTAGCTTGGCATCATTTTGTAACAGATTTAGCTTTTTATAATTTAATACATATTTGATACTCTTGCTGCATCTTGTACAGTGGTGCAGGTCCTGTTTGCAAGGCAGTAAAACAAATTAAATTGTTGCTATAAAAAAAAATCCTCAAATATGCGTATGTATTTGTAACTTTTCATTTACAGGATTGCACACTGAGTGCAATATTAAGTATATTCAAGCCTTTCCCCCTCCCTACCCCAAATTCTTGCAGGTTCTGAGGATTACAACTGGCAATTTAGGAAATGATCTGGAACAATTATTCTCTCCTCTTCTTGTCCAACAAAAAATTGTGGCATGGGTGGGGAAAACTATCACTTATTGCCTTGTGCTCAAGTGGGTGATCTGCAACTAGACAAGCATTGAGTGACTTATAGTACAGTCCTGTCTGTATGGCTACTTAGACCCTCCTAGGCTAAGCTATGCCACACAAGTGTTCAAGCTCCTAGGGAGGACATTGTAGCGAGTGTTCAAAATTCCTCAGGTGTGTTTTGCTACTGGCACGGGTCCAATTGCTTTTACATGGAGATCGTCGGGCACCAGGTTGGTGACCACAGTTTAAACAACTCTGCCTTAAAGGTAAAGGGACCCCTGACCATTAGGTCCAGTCGTGGCCGACTCTGGGGTTGCGGTGCTCATCTTGCTTTATTGGCCGAGGGAGCCGGCGTACAGCTTCCGGGTCATGTAGCCAGCATGACTAAGCCGCTTCTGGCGAACCAGAGCAGCGCACGGAAACACCGTTTACCTTCCCGCCGGAGCGGTACCTATTTATCTACTTGCACTTTGACATGCTTTCGAACTGCTAGGTTGGCAGGAGCAGGGACCGAGCAACGGGAGCTCACCCTGTCGTAGGGATTTGAACCGCTGACCTTTTGATCGGCAAGTCCTAGGCTCAGTGGTTTAGACCACATTTCCATTTCCACTGT